TTCGCTCTTTTGTCGCTTGGTAGGACAAGGCTTCAACAAAGAGCGTCTCGTTTCGATTGTAAACTTCTATCATTATTTGTGACAAAGATAATAAAACTAATCTCGCGATGTGGAAATATTCTGAAACACCCAAAATTTATTGTGTTGATACCAGTCTCGTTCGTTGAGCCCTCTGCAACTTCCGTGAGCTATGATGATTTGGGCTCCGTTTCTATTATCAAATGGAAATTAAAGCTGCCAATAATTTTTATTTTATTGGCGTTTCCCTCCAAGTTTTGAGCGAAAGCGACCAGCATTTCTGTAGCTCAGATATGATACATGACCATACAAACCTCCACTGTATTCTCTCCCGTACAACGGTCCAATATTCAGGTCATTAAATAACAATACGTTGGCTCCATTGAACTGTGCTTACATCTTTCGAATGTTCGCTGCCAGGAAGCGGCGACAGATTTATAATTGCAGAATCAAAAGTCCATCCGTTTGCTGAAATGTTGTAGATGCTCCCCTAACAGAAACCAGTTGTTATAAATTACTTGAATCGGTATTCATATTGTCCTATATGCACTTGAGGTCCTTTCCAGTAATTCACTGATTTTCTGTGAGGCGTATGAAAGTAGTATTCGGTCTTCGAAAAAATCTGAGTAGGGTCGTGGGTTCGAATCCCACACAGGGCATGGATGTTTAGTGTTTGTGTGTGTATGTTTTTCTGTGTTTGTGTACAGGTAGAGGCCTTGCGACGAGCTGATCACCCGCCCAAGCAATCCTACCGAATGTCTAAGATCTAGTAAACCGAAGTGAAAATGAGAGTTTCATGGAGGTAGGCCAAGGCCTAAATTGGGGCTGTAGCGCCAAGGAAAATTATTTCAGTGGATGTACCAGATTTAGTCAGAATATTTTACATCACTTTACTCGTAACTGATTAACGTGCATAGTGAATTATTACAGACCTGAAGCCGAAAAAGTTGGTTTAACGGTAATGTTCTCGGGAAGGCCTGAAGAATTAGATGCAGTATGTTAGATACAATTCAACAGCTTAGTCTGGTATCATTGCACGCCTGATGATGACCCAGTATGAGTGTCGAAACATGTGCGTCAATAGAAACAGATGTTAATACGATAGTGTCTACTTTGTTTTAAATACAGGATGTTGTTATGTAGACTGCATACGTTTGTATACATTTTATGTACCTTGTTTGAATATCAAATACTGCCGCGTATCGTGTTTCCTCAGACACTCCAGAGAAATGCCTGCGTAGTACTTCGATTAGAAGACTACGGCTTTCATCCAAAACCATTTCATTTCTTTCAGAAACTGTCATGTTTTACGGTGCTTTATAATCCAGCGTCGTGCGTTCAGTTTCGTGCGTATCACATTAAAGTTTCTGAGCTGCAACCTGCCTTTCTCGGAACGTATGCTCAAGTGATGCGAAGAAAAGTGTTGAGGAGGAATAACAGCATGATCGTGATGATCTCTTTCCAATGCCAGGGCGCAAGGGCTGACCGAAAGAGCAATCGTTTCTTGTCATGGAATTATGCAACTAAAGAACGAATATGCGAAGTGGGCGCAGGCAATTTATTGCCAAAAGGAAAGTTACCACAAATGGTGTTCTTCCGTTTCCTTTTTGCTCTCTAAGATAACGTGTTCGAATTCTCATTAACATCTTATGAAAATATTCTCGTATTCTGCTTTAAGAATCAACATTACTTCATGAATTTGCTTTTTAACCTCGCTCTCAATGTAAAATACCACGAGGTGAATAAGATTTTTTTTTGGCAGAAGACTTCCTGGTGTGGATTCAATCTTTTTTTTTCTACAAGCGACTCCTTTTATGCAAAGAACTTCGAAGAATATTGATGAATTTCCACTTGCCATTACTTCAACTGTGAACTGCTCAGAGTAAAGAATATTTGCTAGATGGGACTACTTGTAACACGGCTTTCCTTCTAGACGAAGGTTAGGAAAATGAGGTTCGCGAGACGGAAATACCGCGAGGGAAAATAGGCATGGATTACGGCGATGTTCATTTATAATGAAGACCACACTTCAATCGGAATGACTATATAAAAACAGGTAAGTAGATTAGGAAAATGGTGGTAGATAGTCAAATTTTGTATTCCCTAGAGTTGTCTGCTGTACCTACGACTGTGTATGAGAAAGCCAAACTCAGTTTAAGGGAAGTTCATTTTAATGCGAGTCGCCATAATTTAAGTTGAAGCACAGGATATCGTATCAAATTACAATAATACCCCAATATTTGTGTCTTCCGGTAAAGAACACATAAAACTGTCCCTGTCCCCGGTCTCCCAGTCGATATCTGAAGTGAAGAACTCCAGAATGAAGGCATAGTGCTACCCACTCAGACACGTAAGTTTCGAAGGTGAAAGCATAGTGCTACCCACTCAGACACGTAAGTTTCGAAGGTGAAGGCATAGTGCTACCCACTCAGAGACATAAGTTTCGACAGCACGTAAGTAGAATAATGACTCACACATTTTGATTATGGCCAGTAATTACAAATTGTTCCAAGCACTTTGCAATTCCAGGATTGTCTCCCAGTTCACAGATCATCATAAAATAAACTTAAACGTATTTTACATAAGAGAGTTCCTCGGCTTGATCCTCTTTAACCTGTGAATGTTTTATGGTCTACAGTTTCGAACGGGATGGGAAGACAAGAATTAATGGTGAGCAGATGAAGTGGGAAATGAAGGAGAGTGTTGTGGCATACTTGAAGACATTATTACGAAATTTGCCTGAAGACACTGAGCAAACATACAGAGAGCCAGCCACGATAAATATAACTTTATCGAATTTCTAACAGAGATCATCCCACACGACAAGGCTGAAGCTTCATCGCCACACAAGTCTGCTAGGAGACAGATGTTGCCGCGAACAGCGGTTTTACCCTTCAGTGTAGAGTGATTAGCTCTCGCTTTTCGCTTTATCTAAAGCGTTAGAATATAGCAAAATATAACGTGAATTACTACGCCTAGCGTAAAGGGCATTTTAAATAAGGGAATAATTAATTAAACTGAAAACGACAGACGAATATAAAGGGAAAAGGAAAGAGAAAGCACAGACACGGAGAGAAAGTGATTAAGAAGGGAAGGACAAGGTAAGGAAGAAATAAGAAAAGAAAACAGAAATGGAGCAGGAATGAATAAATAAAGAGAAGAAAAGAGGAAGAGAGAATACGATACGGAAAGAAACATCAATTGGTCAGAAAACACTAGAATGTGCTACATTCTGACGACACACAGGAAAACCAGCTTCTGAGAAGGACTTGGAGAATTTTATTTTCTGCTTGTTTTACGTCGCCTTCAGGGTCTCAGATCAGGGATGCAGAATATTTTGGACCACTCATCATTTACTGCTTATGCTTTTCTTGTCAACTACCAGTATATTAAAGGTAATATTTCAGGAATTGTGATTGGAACTAGTGTGAAACTTAGTCGACGTTTTCATCCCCATGAATTTTAAAATTAAAACATCACATGATGAGGTGACTATGGACAGGCTTAAAATTGGTAATCAAATTTACTGGAGTCTTACAGATTCTAACTACAAGTACTATAGCACTGTCGCTAATTCACACTCTCTGAAATTCACTACAGCACGCGCTAGCTCTTTTCAGTCTCCCGTGTCTTGACCGGTTGTCTAGTAACGGCTTCTAACGCCGTAGGTCTTCCAGTTTCCGTGTTCAGTGGCTTCTGCTGTCGTTGGATGTCGTCTGCCTCACAATTCGGCTTGTCGTTGCTAAGCAACGGCTCAAAACAATGGGGAAACATCCTCCTTTTATGTCTCTATCAGGAGCGACTGTCTTGAACGACGAACTGTTAACAGCAGACTGAAGACTCTCTAGACTGCCTCTGCACGGACTCACAGAGAACACCGCTCCCCACAATTCGTCTGTTGTTGCGTGCCTAACTGTTGCTACGCTGACGTGGCGTTTACTGTGACGTAACCTAGTAACGGACGTATCTTCTGGTTTAAACATTCCAGCTTTCACTTTAGTTGGTGCCTCATCTTATAAAGTATTGTCCGTTCTATAGAAAATGTAAACAACTAAATAATTAACATTAATATTACTACATCTACATCACGAGCCTCCCGTAAAAGTTTTTATACACAACATATACACAACTTCACTCAGACTAAGAAGTTGCACCGTAAAGGAACTGCGGTTTCGAGTCAGAATGTGGGCTGAAATATCTCTGGTCAGATAAACACTGTTAAAAGATAAGTTCATAATCTGAAGTATGCGTTAATCCGTGACAAAAATATTATTAAAAAGAAATAACAAAACTCGGTGGCCTGTATTCCGCAAGCGAACTATACCGACCGAGCGACCGCCGCTTGTTAGCGAAGTTAATGCCAACTTTTGCGGGTAGAGGGTGTCACGTGGTCAGCGCAACGGGTCCCACGACCGTTAATCTCGGTTTTCTAGACCGGAGCTGCTATTTCCTTGAAATAGCTCCTCAATTATCCTCATGAGGCTGAGTGGACCCCGTTCCAGACCCACTACTTCTCAGAGAATCTGGTAGCGCCGGGAATCGAACCCGGGACCTCTAGATCTGTAGGCAGGAACTCTGACCACTAGACCACAGAGGCTTACTAGTGTCGTGAAACTCTTAGCACATCTCTCACTTCTACAGCAGCGCATGAACTTGTAAGTCCTTTGTAACGGTCTTATGGCCCCTTTGGTGCAGTCTATTCTGCCTCCTGCAACTTATGCTGACAACAACGCATCCCACCCTTCGCGCGTCCTAACTTATATGCGGCTAGGAAAGGGGTGTGCGAAGGGGAATCACTCCTGGAAAGAGACGTGTGTTGTAATTTTGCCCAGGGCGTCGACGTATCTTGTACTTGTAGGACTTTACATATAGCTGTGGCGAATACTTCCACAGCTTCTACAGAACCAACATACACGTATATTTGCTTCTCTGTGGTTTTCGCAGTAACGTTTCTGTGCTAATGCATCCCATGTTTGCTGTAGCTTCAACAGTAATGCTGCTGGATTCGGAACGACGCCCGGTAGAGGCGCTAGTGGAGGCGCCGTTAGTTCTCCCGTCCGTCAGACCCGCGACTCGAAGTGCCGGCGTCGGTTGTATAGACGCTTTGCTCCCATTCGATATACCTGCTGAGGACGCTTGACACCAAATCTTTTGTGTGAGGTCAACGAACAAGTCAGCGCTGCTGAAAGTGAGTTCGTGGCCAGACATACCGGACTGTTCAGCAGGTAAGGTTACTACGCTTCATTTTACGTAGCGCCTAATGAGGAAATTAAAAATTCTGATAACATTTAAGAGTCATGGGTTCGATACTTAGATCAGATTTCTTTGTCTGTAGTGGGGAAAATACTGTAGATTACGCCATGACGGTTAGGCTTCAAGTTATAACCCTTTGATTAGTTTGTTGCAGCAGAAATGAAACTACAAACAGTAAACGTTGAAATGCTGAATGACGTTTAATTTGTGACTGGCAGGAATCTGGAAAACTTGTTTTCATGCAGTTCTAAAACTGTTTTCATTCACCCTATTTTCCAAGACTCTGAAGTCGAGACAGAATAAAATATTTTTCCCTGTTACTTTGTGTCGTTGTGGAGCGTTACCTCATAATTTGAAGAAAGAACGTAAATTATAATGGTTTGGAAACAAATAGACCAACGAAGAACGAGTAAATGAGCTACTTAGGATTTTGCACAGCGAGGAGCTCCATGATTTATGTATGTGAGCTTCCGTTTTCAGGAAAATGGATCCTAGGAGGCTCCGATAGGCTGGGCATATGTGCAAGAGGCATACATGCTGAACATATTGGGGAGGAGGCTAAGGAGAACAGGATGATTGAAGGATGGGAATGTTGTGAGGATGGAAATTATTTAACTGGCTCAAATCGTGTTCAGTGGCGGGCTTTATTACTAGCGGAGTTGAATCCTCGGGTTCTGCAGCCACTGAGTTACAAGCTGTCGATCCTGTGTTCGAAGCTTTTTCATTTCATCAGTAATCTGTCATACGACAGGTCCACAGTGTCTCCCAAAACCATCTCGAGCATCATTTTGCTCTGTGCTTCAAGTCGCTGCTGATGACGCTGCTTCCGGCATCAGTTTTTGGATTTTGGTCTCTCTCTTCATCTGATGCCTACCCTTTGACCTGTCCAGCAAGGGAGGTGATTTAAACGGCGTTGTTTAAAATAACACACTGGTTTGTTTGAAAAGGTTTAAAAGTTATTCATCATTAAAAAATGTTAAATAATTCAAAGGAGACGAATTTTTCGAGCGAAATTAAAAGTCGCTTAGTCGGTCAAGTAATTCTTTACCTTCTATGGACCCGAAGTTCATATCAACTCATAACTCGATTACATCTGCAGCCAGTTAAATTCAGTCTACAGTCCTACAGAACAATATTTCCTTTATCTAGGCCAAGGTAGCATTTTCCTTTAAAATTCCTCTACTATAATTTTGTACGCATTTAAATCTAATGCGTTCTACATGCACCATCCATCCTCTTGATTTGATCACTTCAACAGTTTGGCGGAAAGACATATCACGAAGCTCCACATTATAGAACTCATAAATATTAAATCTTTTATAGAGGGCATCCTGACCGTCAATTTTATTAATAAATAGAGACTAAAATGCCTTGTATTCCTTTGAAAGTCAACCGACGTTTCGGGAAACATATAGCCTCCACCTTCAGGGTCAAGGTTCTTGTATAATCCAAGCCAGACATTAGCGTGAAAGCATGTGGTAAGCCATTAACATTGTTCGTTCGTCTCTTGAAGTGACGAAAATCGTAAGGCAAAAAAAAAAGTTTTATCTCCTGGGGCAGCTCAGTCGGAATAGAGACGGGCTGCGAGTTGGAGGTCGGGGTTTGATTTCCGGCGGGTCGAATTTTTTCTCTTCTCTTCAGCGTTCAGACTGGATCTGGGGGCCAAGCAGCCTCATATCCAAAGGATACGTGGGGCTTCTTACTCGGGGTTAAAGCGGTCGATACGTGAAGCTGAGTACTATCCTTCATCTTGTACCGGAGTCTTGCAAACCAACTGCTTACGGAACACGTGGATACGAAAACTAGAAAATATAAACTCGTTGCTATGAAATTAACACGCGTTTCCGCAGCAACGGGTAAGCACAGAACAGTAAAGGAGCTGTTGAGGGTGGTGAGTTATGTTCCGTCTACCCGAAGTTATAAAGGGAGGATGCGTAATTGATTCGGAGTCAGTCATTCGTCATTCGTAAGAGAGTTGAGTGTTCAGCTGTGGAGTGTGAACCAGCGGACAGCGGAAGTTGAAGAAGTGACCGACCCGTAAATCAGAACCAAGTCAGTCACAGTGGAAGAGAAGACACTCGTAGTTCAGTAAGAAGAGGAGCGAGTCTTAGACAGTCACTGATTGTGAGCTGTTGTAATTGATTGTAATTAAGAGTGATTGTACAGGAAGGCGCCAATAAATGCAGTCATGCAATCCAGATCCCGCTATTATTAGTCACTGAACACCGGACACGTGACAGTATATATATATATATATATATATATATATATATATATGGGGCACGCGGTAACGTAGTTGGTTGAGGCATAATGCTACAAGCCGGAATGTCACGGATTCGAGTCCCGAAGAGGTGGAATTTTTCAATTTACTTAATCCTACCAGCCGCACTATGGCCCTGGGGTCGATTCAGTCTCTAACAGAAATGAGTAACAGAAATCATCCTGGAGGTAAAGGGCGGCCGGCGCCTAGGGCTGACAACCTCAACGCCATCTGTGAGCCGATTGTCTAGAAAATGTGGTGACCTCGACGTCTCACAACCCTACTGGCTTCCACGGCCTGTTACAGGGATCGCTTTACTTTTTTTATACCATTAGCGTTTCCACCTTACAACAAAGCAAATGAAGTAACGCTGTGTCTGATGACTTATGGAAGGTCGAAGTTCGAATCCTCTATAATTAAATTTGACTCTTGATGTTTTCCTGGGAAAGCCATTATATAGATAAATGTTTCGTGTGACTGGCCAGCCACATGGGAGCATGAAACTATAGCCTTGTGTTATCCGCTTCGGGTCTTCCTGCTGCGACTTTATTCTGCTTTAGAAGCGATGACACGATGTAATTCCAAACTGTAGCTTTCCTCTCACTCCAAAATACTGCACTGCACGCACTGTTAATGAATTATTAATGACAGTATTTCTTGTCAGTTTAGTTCTATACGTGATGTTGTGTAGGGATGAGAACTGTTTTGAATTCGGGGAATGAAAATTCTTTTGTGGTTTATTTTACTACTATATATGTATGTAAAGCATACTGTATATGTTCGACGGTAGAATGATTGATGAGTGATGAATTGGAGAGGGTTTGGAGGGAAGAGATTGTGGCACAGTCGAGTTATTATCTCGTATATTGGCCTGGAGGGATTAAGGAAAACCACAAAGCTCAGTCAGACTCCCCATTGCACCGGGCCAGATTCGAACAGAACACATCTCGAATACAAGTTTAGAGTGTTTCCGCTACACCAACACACATCAGGAGTGGACATAAATTACTGGTTTTTGAAAAGCTGGTATCAAAATATGATGTATTTCAGGTTACATGACGTAACAAGCAGTTTATTGATTTAAATAACTCGTGAGGATGGTGCGGTTGGATTGGATTCTTCTGGTTCTGGATAGAGATCAGTGGCGTGCTCTTGTGGAAACGACAATGAACATTAGGGTTTCATAAAATAGTGGGCATTACTTGAGTGTTTAGTGATTGATGAAAAGTATACATAAATTTTGGGGCACGCGGTAGCGTAGTTGGTAGAGGAACTATGCTACAAGCCGGAAGGACGTGGGTTCGTGTTTCGATGAGTAGGATATTTTCAATTTACCTAATCCTTCCAGCAGCACTATGGCCATGGGGTCGACTCAGCCTCTAACAGAAATGAGTACCAGGAATATTTTTGGGAGTAACTGGTGGCCGACGCGTAAGTCTGAGGACCTCACCGCCATCTGTGATCCGATCGTCTAGAGAAAATATGAGAGCCTCTACGCCTTACAGACCTGTGGGCATTAACAGCCTGTTACAGGATAGCTTTTTTTTTTTTTTTTTTTTGCTTCACTCACTCAGTGTCGGCAGTCATTTCAGTATAGATCCGTTACCATAAATTAATCCAGAGTAATTATAGCGAGGTGTAAATGCAATTCATGTGGTTTACACCCTTTTGAACCTCCTTCCTTCCTTAATATTGATTAGTCTTCATTCATTACGTTTGGACGTTATTAATTCGCTACTGCCTCCCGCGTACACACGCACACACACACATACATACATACATACATATCAACCGACATAGTTCTAGAGTTCACTACCGACACCGTTATCTCAACATCAATAAAATTATATTAAGTAATAACAGGCATTAAATGAGTATATTTGTGTTAGTTTGCCAGTATAGCTGCTGTGAGTTCCTAATTCACTACAGTTTTTCCTAAAATTATTTTCCGGTTTTCCAAAATGCTCTAGAATCTAGGTCTTGCAAATTGTTAACTGTGCTTAACTAATTAGGCACTACACCATGAAGGCTTATGGGGAGTTGATGTATAGATCCAAATTTTCTTGACCTCAGAAGTGTGTTCAGATTCACGCCCCGGCCGTTTTATCTGCAGAAGAAGAGTCCACGCTACCCATTGTGTAGGAGGTGGGATGGGCCGCAGAGCCGGTGTGGACGACGTGGAGAAGTGGAAATTCTCAACCCTACCAAGACTCGAACTCCGAAACCTCGTTCGTCCAGCCCATAGCCAGTCGCTATCCCGGCTCCGCAATTGTTAAAGCGAAGTGTATTGGTCGGAGAGGAAAGATGAGCTCATGCACAAACACCGTCCCCCCCCCCCGAAATCCGATATAATCACCTGGATTGGTTAAGGTTGAAAGTAAATGATGATTTCTCGGAATAGCATGCAGCTCATCTGCGTATCACTCAAAAGTTTCATCCTGTGTGGTGAGGCTACAGAGAACAGTATATGAATGGCTTTGGGCTTGCTGAATTGTTTTGGGGCCTAATGTTCTACACTGGCAATACAGTTCGGTCACGCCTGTTTGCAGTTTCTAAAATTTTATATAAAATAAAAATATTTCATACTGAATTTTACTTCCTCACTCACGGAGCTGAGCCCTTCATGAGAAACCGCCAATTCTGCAGCTACTCAAGAACTTCCCATCATTTTATGGAATCCTAAAGTTCATTACCGTGTTCACAAGAGCCATC